AATCAAGTCAACACCTGTGGTCATGACTTGGTCGGCAGAGATACAAGCCATGGTGACAATGTGAGCAGGAGTCTTGTCAGAGAAGTCAGTTCCAAGGGCAGCCTCTCTAGCCACATTGCTTGTTTTCACTTCCTGAATAACTGTGCCAAAGATGATATAATCAACTTCCTCGGGGACACTGGTCTGATACAACAAACCCGTAAATGCTGCTCTAGCCAAATCATGTGGCGTCAGATCTTTATAGAAAGCGCCTGACAGCAAAAATGGAGTGCGAACACCGTCCACCACCACAATTTTCCTTATGTTGGGTTTGGCTAATGTCTTCTTCATTTTGGTCTGGACGGCTTTCAGATAAAGCTAAAAATCCAATGATCCATCCATATAGGAGCCAATCCAGAAACCAGTGTCATCTACGTATAAGTGATCAACTGTGCTGGTCAGATTCTCTCTCTGGGGCAGCTTGCAGCTGGAGGAACAGCTCAGAGGTCTTATAACTGGAAGACAAAATAAAAAAATCTGAGGGCCTGTTTCAATGTAGTGGGAAGATTTTTTTACTTTTTTTTTTTTTGAGATAGAATTTCTCTCTGTTGCCCCGGCTGGAGTGCAGTGGTGCAATCTCGGCTCACTGCAAGCTTCACCTCCTGGGTTCACACCATTCTCCCGCCTCAGCCTCCTGAGTAGCTGGGTCTACAGGTGCCCGCCACCACGCCTGGCTAATTTTTTTTTTTTTTGTATTTTTATTAGAGACGGGGTTTCACCGTGTTAGCCAGGATGGTCTCAATCTCCTGAGCTCATGATCTGCCCATCTTGGCCTCCCAAAGTGCTGGGATTACAGGCATGAGCCACCATGCCCGGCCATGTAGTGGGAAGAATTTTAAAAGTGTAAGTCAAGATGGTAGTCATTCTGGAAACTTAACTGATGTTCGCGCAGACTCCTACTCTGAGCAAGGTTCAGACCCAAGTGCCAAGGCTCTGACTGTTGTGTAGATTATTTTGTCACCCAGATATTAAGCCTAGTACCCATTAGTTATTTTTCTTGATCCTTTCCCTTCTTCCAACCCCCACCTTTCAATATGTCCCACTGTCTGTTGTTCCTCTCTGTGTCCACATGTTCTCATCATTTAGCTCTCACTAATAGGTGAGAACATGAGGTATTTAATTTTCTGTTCCTGAGTTAGGTTTTCTGAGGATAATGACCTCCAGCTCCATCTACATTCCTGCAAAGGACATGATCTCATTCTTTTTTTATGGCTGCATAGTATTCCATGGTGTGTGTATATATGTGTGTGTGTGTGTGTGTGTGTATATATATATATATATATACACCTCATTTTCTTGATCCTGTGTATTTTCAAATAACCTGTCTTCACTAATTATTCTTCTGCTTGATCAATTCTGCTATTAAAGGCCTCTGATGCATTCTTCAGTATGCCAATTGCATTTTTTTCAGTTCTGGAATTTTTCTGCTTGATTTTTAAAAATTATTTTAATCTCTATGTTAAATTTATAAGATAGAATTCTGAATTCCTTTTCTGTTTTATCTCGAGTGTCTTTGACATTCCTCAACAAAACTGTTTTGAATTATTTGTCTGAAAGGTCAGATATTTTTGCTTCTCTAGGATTGGTCCGTGGTGCCTTATTTACCTCATTTAGTGAGGTCATGTTTTTCTTGATGGTGTTGATGTTAGTAAATGTTCTTCATTGTCTGGGCTTTGAAGAGTTATATGTTTATTGTGGTTTTCATTATCTGTGCTTATTTGTAGTAATCCTTCTTGAAAAGGCTTTTCAGATATTTGAAAGAACTTGATTGTTCAGCCTAAAAGCTCCTCCAGTTGATAAACAACTTTAGCAACGTTGCAGGATACAAAATCTATGTACAAATTCACTAGCATTTCAATACACCAAGAACAGCCAAACTGAGGGCCAAATAAGAAAGGCAATCCCATTCACAAGTGTCACACACACACAAATAAAATACTAGGAATACAGCTAACTGGGGAGATGAAAGATCTCTACAATGAAAATTATAAAACGCTCATTAAAGAAATCAGAGGAGACACAAACAAACGGAAAAACATCCCATACTCATGGATCAGAAGAGTCAATATCATTAAGATGGCTATCCTGCCCAAAGTAATGTACAGATTTAATGCTATTCCCCTCAAACTACCAACAACATTCTTCACAGAAGTAGAGAAAACTATTATAAAATTCATATGGAACCAAAAATAAGCCCGAATAGCCAAGGCAATCCTAAGCAAAAAGAAAAAAGCTGGGGGCATCACATTACCCGACTTCAAACTATACTACCAGGCTACAGTAACCAAAACGGCATGGCACTGGTACACAAGCAGGCATACAGACCAACGGAACAGAATGGGGTGCCCAGAAATAAGGCCACACATCTACGACCATCTGATCTGTGACAAAGCTGACAAAAACAAGCAATGGGGAAAAGACTCCCTATTCAATAAATGATGCTGGGATAACTGGTTAGCCATATGCAGAAGATTGCAACTGGACTCCTTCCTTATACCACACACAAAAATTAATTCAAGACAGATTAAAGACTTAAATGTAAAGCCCAAAACCATAAATCCCTAGAAGACAATCCAGGCAATATTATCCTGGACATAGGAACGGGCAAATATTCCATGACAAAGACACCAAAAACAATCACAACAAATGCACAAATTCACCAGTGGGATCTAAGTAAACTTAAGAGCTCCTGCACAGTTGTCTGTATCAACAGAGTGAACAGACAACCTACAGAATGGGAAAACGTATTTATAAACTACGCATCTGACAAAGGTCTAATATCCAGCATCTATAAGGAACTTAAGCAAATTTACAAGAGAAAAACAAACAACCCCCTTAAAATGTGGGCAAAGTACACAAACACACACTTTTCAAAAGAAGACATACATGTGCCAACAAGCATACAGAAAAAACCTCAACATCATTGATCATTAGAAAAATGCAAATCAAAACCACAATGAGATACCATCTTGCACCAGTCAGAATAGCTATTATTAAAAAGTCAAAAAATAACAGATGCTAGTGGGATTGCAGAGAAAAGAGAACACTTATACACCATTGGTGAGAGTGTAAATTAGTTCAACCATTGTGGAAAGCAGTATGGCGATTCCTCAAAGAGCTATCAGCAGAACTACCCTTCAACCCAGCAATCCCAATTCGGGGTATATACTCAGATGAATATAAATCATTTTACCATAAAGACACATGGACGCAAATGGTCATTCCAACACCATTCACAATAGCAAAGACATCGAATCAACCCAAATGCCCATCAATGACAGACTGGATAAAGAAAACGTGGCACATATGCACTATGGAATACTATGCAGCCATAAAAATGAATGAGAGCATGTCCTTTGCGGGGGCAGGATGGAGCTGGAGGCCATCATCCTTGGGAAACTAATGCAGGAACAGAAAACCAAATACTGCATGTTCTCACTTATAAGTGGGAGCTAAAGGATATGAACACATGGACACATAGAGGGGAACAACAGACACTGGGGTGCATTTGCGGGTGAAGGGAGAAATGAGGGAGAGGATCAGGAAAACAGCCTAGTAATCCCACCACTTTGGGAGACCGTGGAGGGTGGATCACAAGGTCAGGAGTTCAAGACCAGCCAGGCCAAGATGGTGAAACCCCATCTCTACTAAAAATACAAAAATTAGCCAGGTGTGGTGGTGGGCACCTGTAGTCCCAGTTTACTTGGCGAGGCTGAGGCGGCAGAAATTGGCATGACCTTGGGAGGTGAAGCTTGCAGTGAGTGGAGATTGCACCACTGCACTCCGCCTGGTGACCAGTGAGACTCCATCTCAAAAGAAATAAAAAAAACCACACACAAAAAACAAAACAAATCCCCTTGACACAAGTTTATCTATCTAACAAACCTGCACATTGTATCCCTGTGCCTTAAAGTGAAAAAAAATAAAGGCAATATGTGTCAGATTTGTTGTGCTGTCTTGCTGCTTCGCGCCCCATATGGAAATGTGTGCCTGACTCCCGCCTTTTTTCCTTGCTTATTGTGGCTAGGATTTGTGAATGGAATTACCATTCTCAAAGATGAGTTTTTGGCTTCATTGAGTTTTCACATAGTTGTTTTGTCCTCATTAGTAACTCCTCTTGTTATTTTTGTCCACTTCCTCACACCTTCATTGGAATAATTCTGCTCGTTCTTTTTCTAAATTCCTTATCATTGCCAAGGTCATTAATTAGTGTAGCGTTTTATTTCTTTTCTTTTTTCTTTTTTTTTTTTTTTTTGAGACGGAGTCTCGCTCTGTGCCCAGGCCTGGAGCTGCAAGTGCCCGGATTCTCAAGGCTCCACTGCAAGCTCCTCCCTCCCGGGTTTACGGCCGCTTCTCCTTGCCTCAGCTTTCCCGAGTAGCGTGGGAACTACAGGTGCCCTGCCACGTCGCCCGGCTTAATTTTTGTATTTTTTAGTGAAGACGGGTTTTTACGTGTTAGTCCAGGATGGTCTCGATCTCGCCTAGAACTCGTGATCCGCCCGTCTCGGCTCACCAAGTGCTGGGATATACAGCCTTAAGGCCACTCACTGCGCCGCGGCTGGTTGTTATTCTTTCTAGTTCATATCAACTCACTTTGTAGGTTTTTCGCGATTTCATCATTTAATGTGTAATATTTACATTATTCATTCAAATTTTATAACCATTCTCTAATTTCTGTTTTTAATTTTCTCAGCCTTCTTGATTTATTAGAGGAAGCTCTGTGGCTTTTATTTCAAAAAAATGCAAGATTATTAGTCAATTCTGTTAACTGCCCAAAGTAATTGTAGTGACCAGTAAAGTTCCAGGATATCTCGTGGTCTCTGTTAGGGGTTCCAGGGCTGGCTGCGGGTTATTGGTGTCCACTGGTGGCAGCTCCCGATGCCTCTGGACATTCCCTGAGCTCCTCTTCTGTTCAAGCTGTAGGTCTGGGTCCCCCATGTGGCTAGTGGATGGCCAGTGTCTCAAGACCTCTGGGCCGTTTCAAAAAGGACCGGGACGGTTCCCCTTCCTGGGCGGGAGGAGCTGTGGCGCTCGGGCGCGTGCTGGAGCGTCAAGCTTCTTGCAAAAGTGGGCGTAGCGTTCAACAATCCTGGGGGGTCTTCAGAATGCAAGCCGCCCTGCAGTGGGGGAGAGTGGAGGATGAAGGCAGGCGTGGTGGTGGGGCGGGGAGCCTGGGGGCCTGGAGAGGGGAAAGCTCCCTCAGGTGTCCATCTGCCTGTCCTCTTCCACCTGTGTGTCCTTTGTGTCCAGGAATTCCTCGGACAGTGGGGAGGGAGGGGAGGTCATTTCTCTCCTAGGTCTGGAGCGTTTCACCTGGGCGTATGTCACTGTCTGGGGGTCTTCATCGTGTGGTCTCTGCTGGAGAAAGACAGTGGTGGGGAGTGTCCTTGAGTCCCCCTGACCCCCTGGAGTCAATTTTCCTCACTGTTCCCAGGGTGATCCGATTACATCCCTTTCCTGATGGAATCTCAGGGACGCCCTAAGGCCGTGGAGAGTCTGGCCGCTCCCTCCCTGTGGTTCTGGCCTCTCCTCCTCACTCTGACCTTGCCCATTTGGCTGCAGCCTAATGCCCGCCTTCCTGCAAGAGGTCGCTGCTGCCTCAGGACCTTTGCACGGCTGTTTCCTCTGCCTGCAGGGGCTCGTCCATTAGAGGATCCTGTGGCCCCCTCCGTCCAGGCTTCTCAGATGACAGCTGAGCGGACAGCCCTCGCCTTACATTCAGACTGGCCCCACTGCCCCGCACTGTCTGCCCTTTCCCTGGTTTATGTTTCTTACAGCACGTTGCACTCCTGCACATGGTGCATTTAGTTGCATTTTGTCTCCCACCACGAGGTGAGCTCCGGAGGTGGGGGCGGCTCTGATCCCTGCTGTGTCTGCAGCTCCCACTGGGAGCCCGATCCACAGTGAGCTCCTGGGAACACTCGCTGGATGAATGAATGGAGGGAGCCCAGGGGACCGGGGTGGTTCATCTATTCCTCATCCTCCTGAGGCCTGGGGGGCGCTCTAACCACCAGACGGCCAAACAGAGGAGGAGGAGCGGGAAGGGGACCCAGGAGGAGGCCCGCGAGGTCCCAGGACAGCAGGAGAGAGTGAGGTCACAGCAGGCGGGAGGCAGCGTGCTGGACAAGGAGGGGTCCACCGTGACAATGCTGAGAACCGGGGGAAGAGGACAGAGAAGTCCTGCAGGATTAGATCTGGCACCAGGAGGCCTTTGGTGCCCGGGACAGGGGCGGGGTCTCACCCGACTGTCCAGCTCCACCCCGTCCTCAGGCTGTGTGTCCTTCACGGCAGCATCTGCGGGGACACAGCAAGGACTTCGTCTCCTGGGAAGGTTCCCTGAGACCTCTCAGTCCCGCTGGCCCCTGCCCAGCTCCCACTAGAGTGGCCGAGATCCAGGGAGCGACAGTGATGTCCCCGAGGTCCCATAGTGTGGGTTCAGACCACCTTCCCCTTGGCCCCAGACCCTTCCCAGCCTGTGCTCATGCCCCCATTGCTACAGAAACTTTGGAGCCCCCTTGCCCACCCCAGGTGCCCCCCTTTTCTTGTCACTCACTGAGAATTTCCTCCTGGGCGTCAGCAACTGGGCTGGCCCTGGGGGAGGACACAGGAATGTGAGGGGCAGTGAGGGGCCTGTGCGGGCGGATGGGAGCCTGGGGTCTTCAGGCAGAATTACCTCCTCAGCAGGACCTGGTCCTTGGGCGCTGGCTCCGTAGCCCCTGCAGGACGGTAGAAATGGGCTGGGCAGAGATGGACAGAGTGTCAGGCTTGGGAGAATTCGAACCAGCTGCCCTGCACACACAACTTGAGCAGAAAGAAAGAAACCTGGAGGCCCACTGGCCCTGAGGTTTTAAATACATCATAAATTTAAAGTAAAATCAGAAAAATCAAGCACTGCCACGCACGCTCACATTTATTCTCTTCTTTCTCCATGTTTCACCTGGGAATTTCTGGAGCAGTTTTTCTAAGCTGAGTTTCCTGTGTGTTTGGGTTCCCTTTGGCTGGTGCCTTGAGCCCACCCTCGGTCAGCCCACGGGTCACCCCATTCCCTACTCACCCGATGTCCTGTGTTTGCTCTGATGCCGATGTCGGAGGAGGAGGAAGAGGAGGAGGAAGAGCAGCAGGATGAAGGCCACTGAGACCCCGGTCACAACCCCCAGGTGCCTTCCCAGACCTTGAGCGTGATGACGTCAGGAATGGGTATGACATCATTGATGTGAGCACCTACTGTGTGCAGGCGCGAGCTAGGTCTTTCCTTCATGAGCTCCAACCCTCACAGCAGTCGTGCAACATGAGATTGCCAACCCCCCAATTCACAGAGGAGCAAACTGAGGCTCAGAGAGGGGAATCGCCTGCCCCAGGCCCCCCAGCCTGGAGGAAGCAGGTCTGGGAAGGGAACCCGGGACCTTGTGTTTTCCCCAGTTGTTCTCCTGCTGCCCTACCAGGTGGACACCCGCTTCCTGCTCTGGGTCTCTTCGTCTGACAGGAGAGGCCTGTCCTAGTGTCTCCATCTGGGGCTGGTGTCCTCCTTACCACCCTCCCTTCCCCAGCACAGCAGGACCTGGGGGAAGGAGTGGGCTGTGCAGGACGGACCCTGCATTGCTCTCACCCCCAGCTCAGCCAGGTCCGCTTCCCACTCTGCCGAGTTCCCACACTCCCATGCAGCACCTGTCTGGATAGAGGCTCTTTGTGTATCTGGGAAGGGCTGAGGGTAGCAGGAGGACCGTGTCCCTGCTGAACTGTGTACAGGGCCAGATCCCGAGATTTCACTTACACCTCACAGCGGTTCTATGAGCTGGATGGGACTGAGTCCGTTTACAACTGCTGAACCTGACTTGGAGTAGAAAATTGACCTGCCTGGGGCCCCACGGTCGGATGCAGCCGAGCTGGGAAGTGAACCCGGGAGTCTGACCTGCAGCCCTTGTTCCCAGCACCAGAGCCGAGCCCCGGAGATGCAGGGAAAGAGCCTGAATGCCCCAAACCATGGCCCTGCTCCCCTCCTCCGCCCCAGGTCTCCGTCACTGCTGCAGGTGGGACAGGACAGGCCCCTGAAGAATCCCACCTGTGCAGGCCTCTCTCCTTTACACTTGGAGAAACTGAGGCCCAGGCAGGGGAAGAGCTTGTGCACATCACCATCTCCAGAGGAGCCTGAACCTAGGACAGAACCCACCCCTGCCTCCCCAGGACCCCGTCCACCTCCCACTCAGAGCCCCCACTCACCACTCTGGGGGTCCGACCCCGTGGGGGTGAGGGGCTGGTCCTCAGGGCCTGCTGGGTCAGGATGAGGAGGTGAGGGCTGGGGCGGCCCTGTTCCCCACGTCAGCCCGGCTGCTCCTCCCCCAGGCTGGGCCCCAACACCTCCCTCTGCCTCGCCCCCCGCCCCTCACCGGCCCAGCCTCGGAGCCCCTGGGAGCCTGTGGCCCCTCCTGTGGCTCTGCCCGGCTCCCTGGAGGGAAGCTCGTGCTTGAGTCTTTGAGGGGAATGGGATCCTTCGGGAGACTCAGGGCTGCCCTGGGGGAGGCCGTGCTCCCTCTGAGCCCAGATCTCAGCGACTCACCAGGTGTGGGGGTGGAGCCTGTGGGTGGGGGGCTGGGGTCCCCAGAGGGTCCTGGGAATAAGCACAGGCAGGGAGTGAGGAGCTTTGGTGCTGAAGTCCCCTCCTCCACTGAGACCCCTCCCTCCACCTGCTCTATGGCTTCTCCGGAACTTCCTTCTGCTTTTACCTTTCACCTTTTGTGTCCCAGGAGATGGAGCCAAGGGTGGGCGTGCCTGGGGTGCCCCCACTATCCTCCTCCCCTCTGAGGGGTGAGTCCCCCTCTGGCTGAGCCTCCCATCACGACCCCCCCAACCCCGACTCCATCCCAGCCCAGAGCTCTCCTGGGGGCAGGGTCCGAGCTGAGCCTTTGAGCTCGGACAGGACAGGGTCAGGGTCCTCACCTGAGACCACGAGCTCCAGGGGGTAACTAGGGCTTGACAGCAGGTAGGGGTAGGACCTGAGTGCGCTGTAGCATCGATAGGTTCCACCCTGGGCTGAGGTCACAGGACCCATGGGGAATTCAGCCTGGTATGTATAAGACTGGTACTTTGACTTTAGACGCAGCGGGGGATGGGCCGCACCCTCCTTGGTCAAAAGTAAAGTGTCTATGTTGTGCCATGATTGACACAACAGGGTCACATTCTCTCCTGAGGCCACCGTGGGGCCCGGCCGCACTGAGACGGAGGGTGTGTCACGGATCAGTCCTGGAGAGAAGAAGGATGGGTGAGGGGCTGCCCCACCTTATTCTGAGCTGAGACCTCCCCAGGCCTCTCTAGGAGCCTCTGTCTCTGTTTTCTCTGAGTCTCCCCCTCCCCACCCATCCCATCTCTGTCTGTCTCTCCCTCCCTTGGGACACCCCCACCCCTCATCCCGGCCATCACTAACTGGATTCCCCGGCAGGGCCTGTGCAGAGCGTGGGTCCCTGACTGAACCCGCTGGGCTCCTCACCTGCGATCAGGATGTCCAGGGGGACACTGGGGGCCGACCACTCGGAGGAGACATTGTGTGCACCAGAGCATCTGTACTGGCCCCCGTGGGAGCGGCTCACAGGGCTCAGGGCGAAGTTGGCCTGGGAGAGCCCAGCCTGGGGTTGCTGGCCAGGGCGCTGGAGGAGGACATGTCCCCCCTCCTGGTACAGAGCGAATCTCTCGTAGCCGACATCAGAGCGACACTGCAGGGTCAAGCTGCCTCCACGGGCCACCACAGGGCCCTGCGGGGCCAGGAGGGAGGGCTTCCTAGACACGCCTGGAGGGAAAGACGGGTTGGGACTCCAAGGGCTGGTTCCTCCTCTGCCCCTTCCTTCTCCCGTCCTGGCCCTGCAGGTCTCACTGTCTCTCACGCTCTGTGTCTCAGATCCCAGGGGCTCCTTCTCACCTGGGTCTGTCTTGGAGAAATTCCAGACCACTAGTGTCTCCCTGGCTCCTGGCCACTGTCTGTCTGGTCTGTCCTCTCCTCACAGGGGGACAGGAAATTGCAGCAGATACACCCAGTGCCTTCCTGAGTTGACCCCTTTCCAGGTGAGGGTGACTCAGGCTCCTCTTTCCCTATCGAGCCTCCCCATGGGGTCTTCCTCACAGCTTCAGCCCATCCATCAGCACATCCTCCTGGGGTCCTGGCCATGATCAGTCATCAACCAAACTCCCAACAACCTATCTGGCTCCCCAAAATTATATAAAGAAGCCTGGTGGCCTTTTCACCTGGGACCAGAATCTCCAGGGGGTCGCTGGGGTTCGACCACGCCTAAGGGTTTTTCTTGTAGTAGTAATAGCATCTGAACCTCCACCTGGAGCTGGGGGTCACGGGACCCACAGGGAACAGGGCTTGGGATGGCCCTTTGGGGAGGTTCTGTGAGTACAGAGTCCTGGGGAGCTTCTGTTCTTCCTCAACAAGAACAAACGTGAGAAATCCGTTCCGTATATCACACTGGAGGGTCACATTCCCTCCTGAGGCCACCACAGGGCTGGGCAGGGCTAAGAGAGTGGGTTCTGCATAGAATCCTAGGAGAGAAGGAGGCACCGTATTAAATGGGACTCACATCTCCCGCATCATCCCCAGGGCTGGGCTGTGAGAGGGAGACGCCCCTGAGAGCCGACCCCCTTCCTGAGGGCAGAGCCTGGGGCTGGGACCCCTGAGTGTCCTCTCACCTGTCACCACCAGCTCCAGGGGGTCACTGGGCTCTGACCAGCCTGCAGGGGTCTCAAAGTAGCAGCGGTATTGCCCTGCAGTGCTGTACGCCACGGAGCGAATGTGGAACTTGGCCTTGGCTCCAGGCTCCAGTGGGTTCTGTCTCCCCCAGGTCCACTGGAGTCCCTCCTGATCCAGACGGTACTGCTGAGTCTCCAGGGGCCCCTGACACCAGAGGGTCACGGGGCTCCCCCTTATGATCACAGAGCCTGGCTCAGCCCAGAGGGTGGGTTTGGGGGGGGGTGCCTAGAATGGAATCAGAGGCTGGATCCCAAGACATCCTCATCCCTCAGATACTAGCTCCCAGCCCCAGGACCCTCCAGATGTCCCCATCAGTCAGCCCAGAACAGCAATCTCCACCCCCAGCTGCCCGGGGTTGGGCCCTTGTCCCCAGTGAGAAGGAGGGACCTGGGAGAGCTGGGGACAGACTCACCTGCCTGCACGTGGGTCCTGGGGCCCAGACTCAACCCTGGAAGAGAGTTCCCTGTGAGAGATTTGCCCCCCGAAGCCTCAGGAGTTCCTCTCCTCCCTCAGAGCCTCTGATAGACCAGATTCTCTGACAGACCAGAGCCTGGCTTTAGACTGAGTTCCCTCCAAGACTGGGGCCTTCCTTTCCCCTCTTCAAACCTCACCGAGGCACATCAGGACTGGGAGGGTGAGGGTCATGGCGTCAGCTCCCACTGAACTCAGCTGTGCAGGCGGATGGGACCACAGTGCCTGGCGGGACACAAAAACACGCAGAGTGTGGACTGGAGGCTGGGTTCTCCCTGTCACAAGGCTGTCCCGTCCGCAACACGAAGGGGAACCGCCCTCCCCAAGAGCCTGGCTCTCATTTCCCCAGGGATGGGGCTGGGGTGACCTCCAGGCTCTCCGCAGACATTTCAGACAGAAATGGGGTCGCCCTGAGCCCTAGCCACTGTCTAGTGACCTATGCTCAGCTCACCAAGGGCTGGGACAGAGCAGCAAAACCCGCTTCTCCGGGAATGAACCCCTGAATCCTTCCTGCCTCCTCAGTGCCCCTTTGTCCTTGGCCGTCCCTCTGTACCTCCAATCACGTTCAAGGTTTTCAGGACAATTACTCAGGTTTGACATCTGACTCAGGGGGTGGAGGAGGGAGCTGAATTTTATTCCCACTTCCACTGATTACATGACCTTAGACAGTAAAGTGGCTTTTGCTTGAGCCTTGTTTATTTGGAGCTTGTGGTCATGACCTCAGCTTCTCAGAGTGGACATGGGGGTCAGTGGTGCCTGGGACATGGGAGGGGGCTCAGCCATGGTGAATTTCCAGACCAGATTAGGACAAGAGTGGTTGGGGTGTGAGAGGATCCTGGCGTTGAGCTCCGTAGTTGAGGAGGATGTTTGATGCCCCCACTCAAGAGCCCACATCTGCTCCAAATACCAAGAAATGCTCCTTACAATATGTTTGAAGTTCCCGGCACGGTGGCCCACCCCTGGAATCTGAGCGCCTAGGGAGGCTGAGGATGGAGGATCCCTTGAGCTCAGAAGTTCAAGACCAACCTGGGGAACATAGTGAGACCCCGTGTCTGCCTATAATAAAAAAGAAATAATCAGGTGTGTTTGTGCACGACGGCAGTCCCAGCAGCTATTTGGGAGACGGAGGGGGGAAGATTGCCTGAGCCTGGGTGGTCCAGGTTGCAGTGAGGTACGATCATAGCACTGCACTCCAGCCTGGGTGAGACAGCAAGACCCTGTCTCAAAACATACATATATATATATATATCTGAAATGTGTAGATTATGAAAGTTTTGTGCAGAAAAAGAAATGAAAAGTTTTTCTTAACTTGAGAAGGTTGCACATCAAAGAACAGAGTTGAAAGCTGACAGCTAGCATGTGTCTAAGACCATCCTGGGGTCATTAGGGAGGAAACTTCCACTTCTGTGTGGGACAGAAGAGGACCCCCAGGTCCTCACAGTCAGGGAGGGAGTAGGGGCTCCAGATGAAGCTGTTTGTGGACAGGAGCTGGGATAGCTCCGCCCACTGACTGAAGTCCGCGATCAGCAGATCAGCATGGGGCCGCCTCTCCTGTTTTTTTGTGTTTAATAGATTCAGTTGCAGGGCGTGGTGGCTCATGCCTGTAATCCCAGCACTTTGGGAGGCTGAGGTGGGCGGATCATCTGAGGTCGGGAGTTTGAGACCAGCCTGACCAACATGGAGAAACCCTGTCTCTACGAAAAATACAAAAAAATTAGCTGGGCGTGGTGGCGAGCGCCTGTAATCCCAGCTACTTGTGGCCAGGATGGTCTTGAACTCCTGACCTCGTGATCTGCCCACCTCAGCCCTCCAAAGTGCTGAGATTACAGGCATGAGCCACTGCGCCTGGCCGATATGATCTTATTTTTAATGGTATTAATTTAAGGTACAATTTTGCCTCCGCAATATCTGCCTAACTCATCTCAATACATACCCAGTTGTTTAAAAAATACCAATAAATAAACAGACACCTTTTTTTGTTTAATATACCATTTGTTATTCATTCTTGTCGGGGTGACTTTCTCCCACACACCTGATCTTGCAAAAAGGATTTTTCCCAAGGCTGTCCCTGGCATCAGACCTCATGATGGGGGACTGTGGCAGCTGCTCCCGTCTCACTGTCCCAAAGTAGCATCAGCTGTGGTTTGTACCCAGGAGGGACGGGACTAATGCCAGCCTCACGTTCATATGTGGGACAGATGCTCCTGTCTGACAACAGTGGACTGAATCTGGTTTTGGGGCTTTTTTCGTGTGTGTGGTGTGTGTGTGTGTGTGTGTGTGTCTGTGTGTCTGTGTGTCTGTGGTGTGTTTGTTTTTAGACAGTCTAGCTCTTGTTGACCAGGCTGGAGTACATGGCACGATCTCGGCTCACTGCAACCTCCGCCTCCTGGGTTCAAGCAATTCTCCTGCCTCCAGCCTGCCC